TGTGCAAATTCACATGGTTTAAATTCCCAAGGTGCAAATTCCCAATACATCAGTGAGTAATATAAGTTATAAAAGTAAATTTAAAAAACCGATTCTAAAAATGAAGAACGCTGTTTTTTTATGGATCTCATCATCAGATCTTGACCACATTTAAAAAGGACCAAACTAGAGGTACCCCCTTTCTAACAGAGAAGAAATTGTAGAAATCGGACAACGTGGTAAATACTACTGAACATACATAAAAAAATATTCTAATGAATTGAGAACCACTCCACTCCTTTTTTGAAGTCTGTTAAAAAAATAGCAGGTAGGAACAGCATTTCGGAGACTGACTCTTGTACAAGTTAAAAACTCTAATCATCATTGTTTTAGGTATGTTGGCAGGAACTGGCCATAAGTAATGATTTTGTTAAAAGTATGGAATGTGGTGGATTGTTGAATTCAAAATCGTTTACATGATGTTTATGTACTGGAGGAGTTATATTAAATACAAATAATAAGTGAGGAGAAACTGTTCAAAAGTATGAAAAGAAGGGTGGTGAACATTTTGAACAGATACTGATATCCATCACCGATTATCATTCAACAGCCTTGGTCCCATTTTAACATAGACTGGGTGAAAATATCCTTTTAAATAAATTAGTTGATATACTTTTATAATTTAGTATAAATAATAAAAGAAACTTAAAACTTTATTTGTTTATTTCCATTGTTCAGGTTCCTAGTAAAATTCTGTAATTGTTAGAATAAGTTTAATTTGTATCTAATTTGTAATTACTAGTTTGAGCTGCAGTTAACTGTACAACTTTGTAAGTTATTTTGTCATGAATATACATATTTGATTATCACCTGATATTGTTCCCAATATAATAATTAACTTATTTACTGTATTTTCACAGTGTATCCCCATTATGGTATGCATTGCCTAACTAGTCTCAAAATAAGTCAATATTGTAAATCACACTAATTTCATTATCTTTTATTTGGACTTTAAGTTATGATACTCAAACTGAAATTTTTAATATTACAAAAGTGACTAGATTTTTTTTGAGAGGAAATGGAGAAATTTTAAATGCAATTTTGAAAATACTTTTATTAAACTAACTACACTTAAACATTTGAAAAAACGTACGAACTTAAAAAATATTTTTGATATTACGGATACTTCTCAAATGTATGAACTTTTTTTAAAAAATCTCTATTCGTCTTAGAACTCTTGGCAAGTTTTATCAATACTGAATTTCACCACCAAAATATCTTTTAGGATTTCCACACCTAGCTGCAATTTTTCTGTAGTCTAATTTCTTATACTAAGGGCAATGTATTCTTTAAGATTTTTTTTTTCTATATTAATATTAAGCCACTGATTTCCTGTGCCACCTCCGTTAAACATAGTTATTTTTTCTTATGTATTTAATGTATCAAAGGGGGGTACTTGTCATGAATGAGGGCATCTGTCCCTCTCAATGGGGGACCTATGGTCACTTTAAACATTACAGAACAGATGGTCACAATTTTTAATTATAATGAATATCTAATTATTCAGCATTGTTGCTAAAAATCCAAAAGGTTTAATTATTTGTAAAGAGCTTTCTTAAAAAAATCACTTATTGGGTCCTATGATTGAACGTTTATGTTATCCGTAACGTACATGTTAGGCCGAGTTTTAACAGTAATGAGGCAAGTTCGTATGATGGAAAACTTTTTCCAACACGTTACTGTTATTTTCCGCCTGTTATCTTCTAATTTAACAGTTTTCCATCATCCGAACTTGCCTCGTTACTTTTAAAATTCGGCCTAACATGTACGTTACGGATAACGTAAACGTTCAATCATAGGACCCATTATTTTGATTTGACCACAGCACAGATCATTAAATTTTGACACCTGAAATTCGAAATCGAATCGAGGATAAATAAATAAAGGATAGAATTATAATGTGCGATAAAGATGAACATATACCAGCTCTTCGAACCACCTGCGAAGGCCGGTTTCGTTTGGTTCATGTTCCGTGCATGTTGCGAGCGGTTGCGGTTGGTATATGACGTCATAGTTTCTAAATCGAAATCGAGTGGTTCCGATTTTGTCAGCGACCGCGAGGGACCACTCTAAATCGAAAACACCTTAGGTAAATAACAAATAGAAGTTTTGCGAGGTTTTGATTTCCCTCAACAACTTCTCATGAACGTTGCATTTACATTGTATAGTAATGTTATTACGTTCCCTTAATGCAACATCGCCGAAAGGCTTGGCAACGTTATGTGCTAGCTGGGTTGGAATGTACATAAATGTGTTTCTTAATTAGGGTGAGTTTCAAAGCCCACCTGTATTGAAGCTGGAGGCTTATTGTACCCGAAATAGGCATTACAACTATTCTAGATTGAAATTAATGGGAAAAGGCCTTAAAGGGACAATAAGTATAAGAATATTAGAATTAGAATGATTTGTCCTTGGATTAATAAGGGATATTTAAAACATTAAAACAATTGTGTTTATAAATTAACTACTTTGACTTTTTATAAAAACTATATTTGGTTTTTTAATAATAAAAACATTGTCATGAGGCTATGCTGGTTATCATATTATATTTTTATTTTTCAGTAATTAGTGTGTGATATAGTGCTTATTATGTTCAAAATATGCAGTTAGAAGATAATGAAACACATGTAATTACATGGTAATTCTAAATAAATTAAACTTGTTAAAAATGTGTTTTATTTTTCAACTAATTTTATTTTTCAGTTAAAACAAGTGACATTTTCCTTTTTTCAACATTTACCTACAACAAAAATTCACGAAACTTATTGTTTGTTTAGTAGTTGTAAGTAAAAGTTGTCAAATAGGAAAATGTTACTTCAAATTGCTTCAAATATCTAAATTATCAAGCCCGCCAATTTTTAAATCGCTTTAATTAGTAGTGTTCTACTTTATCGACTGAAACTGACAGGTGTAGTTCAACCGTAAGCGCTTAGCGCGCTACTATCGAGGTCAAGCAAACTTGTTACCAACTATTTACATGGAATCCGACCCCCGTGCTATCGGCTATTATATTATCTAACAGCCGTTTGCACCGATTGTAGTTAAGATTTAGTTAAATTTTAATTACCGATTAAAGTCAAACACCCGTTGCACCGCATGTTTTAACAGTAAATTAAGGTTTAATTAATAGTTAAAGATAACTCGCAGACAAGGCAGAGTTTAAAACGTTTGACAGAAGTATTTGAGGTTAGGTCGTTATTGTGTCTATGTGTTTACTGTATTAACATTTTTCTTTTGAAAATAGTTAAAATAGGTAATTGTAATGGATTTGGAAAATATTTTTTTAAATGATTTTGAAGAAGAAGACGAAGATGATCTAGCTATCCTAGATATAATAAACTTCGGAATTCCAAGAAACATTAATGAGAGACAAAATTACTTTGATACAATGGATGCAGCAACATTTAGAAAAAAATTTCGTTTGTCCAAAGAAGCAGTGCGAAATGTTTTATTGGAAATAGAGGATGAATTAGAATATCCTTTTGATTTGTAATTAAAACAAAATTTAAATATTGTGTGACACAAGGGTTATAAATTTTATTTTGTAGGAATAATTGTGTCTCTCCAATTAATCAATTGCTTACACTATTGAGGTTATTTGCTACTGGCGGACATTTAGATGCAGTGGCAGATTTTGCTGGGATGCATACATCAACCGTTTCCAGAATTATAGTGAGAGTATCTGAAGCAATAGCTAGACTTGCTCCTAATTATATATCAATGACAAATAATATGGATGACATACTGAAAACCCAAGAAGACTTTTTTGATGTAGCACGTTTTCCAAAAGTTATTGGTGCAATCGATTGTTCCCATTTCAGAATACTTTCACCAGGTATTTTGAATGTTTTAAAGTAAATGAAAAATGTAATTAATGTTTGTTTAGGTGGACCAGATGCAGAAATTTATAGAAACAGAAAAAATTACTTTTCTATTAATGCCCAATTTATATGTAATGCAGAAATGAAAATAATGAATGTAGTAGCAAGATGGCCTGGAAGTGCACATGATTCGACAATTTTTAATAATAGTAATGTCAGGAGAGACTTTGAAAATAATAGATATAGAGGTTGTTACTTGGTAGGTATGTATGGGTATCACAGTTTTTAAGACATAAAAATAATGAGTTATTATTTCAGGAGATAGTGGATATGGTAGCTACAGATCCTATTTAATGACGCCACTGTTGAATCCTGCTACACAAGCTGAGCAACTATATAATGAAAGCCAAATCCGTACAAGAAATGTCATTGAAAGGCTTTTTGGGGTCATCAAAAGGCGTTTTCCCATATTAGCTTATGGGTGCAGACTAAAAGTAGACACTTTCCTCACTATTATAGTGGCAGCATCAGTCTTACATAACATTGCATTAACAATGAATGAAGAAATTCCTCCTTTACCTGAAGAAGTAGATGAGCACATCTTAAATCAATTAATTTTGAATGGAGAAATACCAAACTTAAATAATGAAGCCACTGATAATGATGTATTAGCACTGACAAGGAGAGGTTTGATTAGTGACTATTTTGAACATATGTTGTAAAATGCTTTTATTTTAATTGTATTGAATAAATCTAAAATGTTTAATTTTTTATGAGAAAATATATTTTTCATTTAAGGTTTTGGAATATATTCTTATCCAGTCACCTTTACATAGAGGTCTTCAATTATGTATAGATTATATAAACCTGAGAAGTCTGAAAATAAACAAAATACCAATAAGTTGTTTAATAATTTGAATAGATATTTATTCATTTAGTTTCAATTACACAGGAGTTTCCATTCAAGAGATTTAACTGAATTGATAATTCTTATTAAAATTTATATTTTATAAAATTGTAGCATCCCAGAATAGTGTAACTTTACTATATTCCTTACGTATCAAAACTAGAATAGGTAGACAATTCACAAAAAAAAATATATTACATGTATATAAAAAATGAATATATTACAAGTATGTACAAAAATGTTAAGATGTCATACTATTTAAAGCATTAAGCTGTGCTTGTTTAATATGGACATCTAGCTGAAGAGCTTTCTTTTTTAATTCGAACTCCTCAATTTCTTCTCTTTCATGGCGTTCTCTTTGTCTCTTCTCCCATTCGGCCTTATCTTTCATTTCTTTTTTTTGAAATTCTAATATTTCCAATTGTGCCTCCATAACATTTTTTTTTACACTAGCCACTTCTTCATATCGGACTGCTACGTTAGTAGTGCTGCAAATTTCTGGCCGCCTTCTCCTGGTCCATTTTTTGTTCGGTGTATTATTTGGGGCTTTCAATTCCACAGTAATAGGAGTTTGTAACTGTTTTGCCGTATATGTTGTCCAGTCATGAGTATTAGTATTTTCCTAAAATTTAAATAAATAGATAATAGAAGATATTTTATCTGCATGTATACATAGGTAATAAATCGTTAATCAGGCTCGCCTGAAGTAGGTACTAGAAAGTGATGTAAAACTTTTATTTCAGTAATGTAAGCATTATTTCATATAAATGTTAAGTAGGAATATAGTTCCCAGGGCCCCTGATTAAGGGTTAATATTGCAGAAAAATCTTATATTTATAATATAAATTTATTTACTTTATTATTATCCTCGTATGTGTCTTGGTTATCTATTTCTACGTCGCTGTCAATCTCTTTCTGTGGTTCATCGGGTTTATCATAAATAAACTCAAATTTGTTTTGTTGTGGGTGTTCATTCATCTAAAAAAACATAATATAAGTATCAAGAAATTAGTAGGTACTTCTTGTTTAATACATCAATAAAAAATTACAGTAGGTACTTACCATATCACTATCAAATTTATTTTCCAACCCTACCACAGTCTTCTTATTTAAAATATCCAATGTTAATTCAAATGTTGGGTCTTTAACAATAGTAGCTGGTATTGGTGCTCCTCCCCCAGTTCCAAAATATTCAGCTCTATTATTAGCTGCACATTTTCGAGTATCCTTTTTTTTATTGGTATAAAACCGTTTTATAACATCGAGAGATCTATAAGTATCAGAATGTGCATTAAACTCTCTCTCGATCATTTTCCAGGTGTGTTCTTTCTCTTTCCAACTCAGAGCACCCGTTTCTTTACTTTCAATAATGTGTTTGTATTTTTTAATAACGTTCAAACACATTATTTTTTCATTCAACGAAAAGTTGGCACATCTTTTTCTTTTTTCAGACATGTTTAACGTTCGATTGGTTTATAATTTAATCGATTCAGATGGACTGTTCTAATCCGGCAAAACTTCTCACTTACTTCACTTGACTTACTTAACCTTAAAGGCACTTTTTTCATTTTCTTCTTGTTTTACCTGTCTAATTTGGTCTGAATCATAGGGCATTTCATAAATTTCTTCTTTTTTTAATATTTTTCTCCAGGGTAACCAACAAAACATTGTGCTTTCAAAATATTCCTAATTATCATGACTACCAACTTACACCTAATCCATAATTAATTAACCAACACCTTTAGGACGAATGGTGCAATGAATTTTACTTTTAACTATTAGTTAACCGTAAACCTTAGTTACTAAATCCAAAAGATAACTACAAACGGTGCAAATGCCTGTAAGATTTTTAATAGGTGCGTTTTAATCATCCGCTTCTGCTTCGGAATTGTCGGTTTTCTTGTTTTACAGCCGGATTCACCATTTTTGACTTAACAGACTGATAACTAACAAACAGTTAAAATTTAACAGTGTGATAAGAACATTTGCTATTCACCATAAAATTTCATTCCAATATTAGTAAACAGACAGTTAACTGAAAGTAACCAGAATTTATGTTGGTACTGATCTGTAGTGGCTATCTTCACCACTATTGATTTATTAAATTATTGCCGTCATCTGTCTGTAAATTTTAAGAACGAAAGAAAAGAATTTAATAATTTTTAGTGCAAAAGTTATAAGTTTACTGATTTATTTGTTTAATTGAAATGGACAAACAACGAAAACGTTCTGCCAACTTTACAGAACATGAAAAGGAGGTTCTAGTTACACTTGTTCAAAAATATTTTGATATTATTGAAAATAAAAAAACAAACGCTGTATTTAATAAGAAGAAATTGGAATGCTGGGAAAAATTAGCTTGTGAATATAATTCAACATCTACGAGCGGATTGAGAACTGGTGTCCAACTGAAAAGTGCTTATGAGCAGTTCAAGAAAACTGCTAAACAGCACAAGGCACAAGACAAGGTAAAGTCAATTACTAGTTCAAGTTTCTTGATTAATAAATCCAAATATATTTTAGGTAGAATTATTAAAGACTGGCGGAGGTACCTTCACACCAACCATTACGGATTTTGACAATAAAGTTTTAAATATAATAAAAGATAATTATTTTTATATAAATAATCAATTTGACTCCAATAATGAAGCATTGAATATTCCATCCTCCAGTAAAGAACCAGATGACACTGATGTGAATACAGAAAATATTATTATTATGTATGAAAACTATGAAGACAATAAGAATATACTTACTGACATTATGCCAAAAAACGAAGATCCTTTATCAAAAAAAAAGAAAGTATGTAAGTCAAATGTGAACTCCATTGAAGTGGAGGAAAATGGTGAGCGTGAGCCATCAAAGACTGGAGGAATTCAGAAGAAGACTAAAAAAGAACCATCTCATTGGAAAACAACCGATTCCATTAACAAAAAAAAGTATGAAATCCTGCAGAAAAAATATAGCATTTTGGAATTGATAGCAGAAACTGAAAAAGAAAATTTAGAAGGGAAGAGAATTGAAACTGAAATAAAAGAAATTATTAAGCAACGAGAAATGCTTGAACTAGAAATAAAAAAAAAAGAATACAATAATCTTGTGTCAGAGTAAAGTGATATACTTATGTCAAAATGGTTGTTTGCCAAAAATATTTTTTTTTTCGTTTCATAAAGTTTTTTATTCATTATTTATATTCAACAGTATTAGTGTTGGACTGGGAACTTGGTTATCCAAGTACTTCTTTCTTGTTTACTACAAATAGAGTCCTTTTATTATTATTAGTCAAAAATGTTTTTTAGTCTTTAGTTTCATCTTGTCTTTATGCTCATTTAGTTGATTAGGATGTAGGAATATTGTGTAGTGATTAAAAGAAAAGTTGTATTTTATAAAATAAATTTTTTATTGAAAAATTGTATTAATTAATGAATTCCTAACTGTATAATTTTCTTCATTTCTGTTATAATGATGAACAACGTCAACATAATTTGCCTCGTTATCATTATTTTCATCCACTATATCTTCCATATCATCCTGCTCTTCAAGACAAATGTTGTGTAACACAGCAGTGGCCACAATCACTTCACATATTACTTCGGTTGACAAACTCATACCTACAGATAAGCAAGGAAAACGCCTTTTGAGCACCCCAAATAAACGTTCAACTGGATTTCTTGTTCGAATTTGAGAAAAATTATACCTTTGTTGAGCTACTGTTAGAATTTCTCCCAGTGGTGTTAGCAGGTACGTTCTACAGGGATAACCACCATCTCCAACAAGGTAATAAGGGACAAATTCTCCACCTTCAAATCGTGCCCTTATATTGGAATCATTGAATATGGTAGTATCGTGGACAGATCCAGGCCAACGAGAAACTATATCAGTTATTTTTAAGTTTGAGTTGCAGACAGCTTGAACATTAATACTGAAATACCCTTTTCGGTTTCTAAAGACTTCAGCTTGGTTTCCACCAGGGGACTTAATTTTTATGTGTGTGCAGTCTACGGCACCTATTACCCCTGGGAAGTTTGCAATTTGGTAAAAGCCTAATATTGTTCGTCGCTTCTCTTCATCAGTTTCAGGCATTTTAATAAAATTAGGACGCAAACGTACTATATCTCTGGTAACTTTTCGCACTATTCTGGATACGGTTGATTGGGACACATTGAAATGGTCCCCAATATTGATTTGAAAAGATCCTGTTGCATAAAAGCGTAGGCATATTAAAATTTGATTTAGCTTAGAAATTGGGTTATTTAGCCTATCTACTGGTTCAAACAAACCATGCAACATGTTAGATATTGACTCCACAGTATCTTTCTTCATCCTAAATCTTTTTTTAAAATCGACGTCATCCAATTCATTCATCAAATTATTTCGATGCTTCATAATTCTTGGCCGTCTAATTTCATCGTCACTATCTGAAGATGAACTCAATAAATTATTAAAATCAACTAAATTAATTCTTTCCATCCTATCAAGAAATTGTTAGTTTAATAACATCAAAGATGACAAATGACGTAACACTGTGTTATCAGTCTGTTAGCAGGTTTATTAGCCCGAATTCCCTCTGTTAACTTATCAGAGGATTTAATTGAGTGTTAATCCCTAACCATCATTGGTGAATACCAAAGAAAAACGTTAACAGACTGTTAAGAGTTAACTCTCTGATTAAGACAATGGTGAATACGGGTGTTAATCTGACAGGTTAAAACGACTGAAGTCGATGCACCTCGGTGTATCGCATGATACCGGTGTTATTCAGCGCGGGCTGTCCTTTTATAAGGGTCAAACCGTGTTCAAGGCAATAACGCAATTGGGAATTTAACTAAATTATATGTTTAAAAATAAATGAAAATATAACAGTGTAATGCATCCATTTTTTATTTCATTGTGTTCGGATTTTATAAAGAATACAAAAATTTCAATTTATATAAAAAGGATATAACTTTTGTATACTAGTAGCCAATCAAAATGGGAAGAACTAAAAACTGACAGTGTACAAGATTAAAATCCATAAAATTCGACCTACAATCCTACAAAAAATGATTTGACATGTTGCAAAGAACATAATTACTTGATAGATTTTGGGTAATCTGCATTACGAGTTGCATCAATTACGTAAATTAAAATTCTCAACTCGTCACGGAAAACGGAATCAGTGCCTGGCGCATGGCGCACCAACAACTCGCGATCCTTTCGACTTACGGCCATATGCACCATTGTCCAGCTAAGTCCTCTGTTATCTAACAGTAGTATAAAAAATAACAGTGTGTTAACAGAATTTGCTATGCACCATCTATGTACCATCTAATTTACCAGTTTCAGTAAGAAATCAGTCTGTTACGTATATATTACTGTTCATATCCTATAAAACCTTATATAGCCCTTCAAAATAAACAAGTAAAATTAAAATAGTCTGATAAGTAAAATTAACAGGCCAAATTTGGTTTGTTACATTAACAACGCCTTTAACAGATTGTTAGTCGTATTTTGTAATGGTGAATACAAAATTGTCAATTTAACAGTCAGTTATGTAGTTAACTCTCTGATAACTATTAACAGAAGAATGGTGCATATGGCCGTCAGTATCGAAAATTGCGTTGCGCTGATACAGTAACAGCTGGATACCTATTCTCTAACTCATGGGAGCACTCCCACACTCCCATACTCCCATGCCAACGTTGCCAAGTCGACAGAATAACTTTTATCTACTATTTAAGGACCGATCCACCGTTGTGTTAAACGAAGTTTAAAATGACATTTTTACATTAACAATGTCATTTTAATCTCCGTTTAACTCAACGGTGGAATCGGCCCTTAGTAGTTCAAATTTGCTTTGTGATAAATACGGACCTAATCAATTCTCCCTCCCATAGTATAAAATCTGACCTTACTACGCATGTACCTGGGCTAAAAGTGAGTAAGCACGATATACCCACCTAAGAGTAAGAGAGCAAAATATATGGGAGCACTCCCATGGGAGCGCTCCCATGACTTAGTGAATAGCTATCCTGGTGTATCAACGCTCATAACGCATACAACTGCGTTAACGCAATAACGCAACGCAGCGCTGCGTTACCCATGTCTAATTCGTTCAGCTGAACGCAATAGCTTACTTTTTCTATTTTAATCTGTGCGTAGATAAGCTAATATCCCTGTAGGTGTAAAAAAAATGTTTATTCTACGCCCACATTTCAATGTAGAAAATTATAGAATAATAACTAGAAATACCTAAGCAACGTAAATAAATAGTTTTTAGTATTTACCCCATAAAAACTGCTATTTACACCACTTCATACTATATTTCATTAGTTTATAATGTTTATACAACATAAATTATGTTTATAATAATATAAATACGTCTTAGAAATAAGGATATCTGCATATATTTACCCTTACTGTTATTATTTTGGGTTGAACAATTTCACTGCTTCACGGCACAACGCTTTCCTCAAATGCATTCAAACAAATGATATGGATGTGAGTCCGAGCTCTAGTGACCGGTTCGAACAGGAAATTTTTCGTTTTTATATCACATGTTAGCTCTTAATTTATATTTTCAAATTTACGCGCCGCGCCACTGACCAACGAACGCTGTCGAGACATGCTGGGTAAGCAGCAGAATGTGTTGGCCATAAGCGGCATTGTGTTCTGTGGCGGCATTCGCCGGTTGTATTCTGACAATAAAATGAGTTTAATTGAATTATCGTGTTTAAATATAATTGAAAATGAGTCTGAGTGATCTAATTTCGATAAACAAATAAATAAACTTAACACATGCATCTCATAAACACGCATCTCATAAACACGCATTTAAAAGTAATTGTAATTAAAAAATGTAATAGTACTTATAAATGTAATTGTAATTGGAAAAAAGTAATTGTAATTGGAAAAGCAATTGTAATTGGAAAAGTAATTGTACTTATGACAAGTAATTGTATTTAGACAATTTAAATAATATAAATTAATATAATTACAAAGTACAATTCCTCCACAGATTTTGCTACAATTACAATTCCAAATTACTCTCGAGAGAAAAAGTACTTAAATACAATTACAAATTACATGAAAAAAGTAATTGTAATTATTAATTATTTTTTAACTAGGAATTACCCAGCTCTGGTACATGTTGAAGTTTTCTTGGAAATTGTATTCCTCCATAAAGGCATCGAATTTTGAAATGTCCTCTTCGTCAAATTAACGAATCATCAAGAGACTATATAGAGCTCTTGGATTATCAGAGAGTTACAATAGTGTGCTAGACATTACTGAGCATGATCAAATTATTTACTAAAATCCACGCCATCGGGATTTATAAAATATATTGTTATACATATATTTTAAAGTGGCCATATTTTGAAAAGTAGAAAGCGGGACAAAACGAAAACGATATATTTCTACGAATTCTCTTTGCAGTAGTGACGGTTTGGTTCATTTAAGAGCAAAAAAATATATATAAAAGAGTGGGATGTTACGTCACCATAAAAATTGAAATATTTATTTTTTTTCGTTAGACAAAAGCGGGACTAGTGGTTTAAAATCGGGACAAATATTTTTGTTTATTGACAAAAAAATAAAGCCCACAGGATATCCCTCTATGCTCAATGGATATTAGACGTTTGTCTTTTATGTGAACAAATAATAAAAAGGAACTATTACATTAAATTATCCACCTTATTTTAGTAAAATGTGTAGTGTGTTCAGTGCTACAATAAGTAATTTATAAATTAAAATATATTTGCAAATTGTACAGTTTTGATCAGCATCCCTCCGAGCAATTACAGCATCCCTTGTATAACCTAACAAATATACAAACAGTATGTTTTACCTCATTAAAAATAAGTAAAAAAATGTGATAGCATAAGACATCATAACAATAAAATTGTATTTTTAATGGCCAATATAAACATAATTTTATATTATTTATTTTGCCATAATAGGTATATTTTTAATTAATACCTACCAACTGATTGATTATTCTATGTTATATCAGTTTCGGTCTAAAATAACAGTTATGTTAAACCATGATATATTAGATGAAATTTCTAGACTTTCTTATTTTATAAAATACTATCTTCCACTTGGACATTTTTTATTCCTTGACACTTATTATAACAATAATTAATAAATATTGCTTACATTTCCTAAAAAAAAAAAAAAAATGTAGATTTGGGTTTCTTTCAGGTGCATTCGATGTGGATATTCAAACGTGGCATATATATTTACTGTTCAGTGATTTTAAGACACATCTTTGCTAAACCGATTCTGATAATGAGCACTTGCGAGCCACTATGGCCGCTCGCAAAGGAACCAGCTTTAAGCAATCTATATAAACTATATATCATTGATTCACAAGGTTGCCATATCAAATTCCACGGGCAGCACTTTGATAGGTCGTTGCTTTGTGGTTGCCGTCGTTGGAATGCTTAAAATCGATATGAAATATTGAGTATCGAATACGGAGGCAGGAATCGAACTCCTAAATATCGATACTGTCAAAAAAACTTGTTTTTGTCGAAAAATAAGGTTAATAAAGTTTTTGTTATTTGTTGTGATTTTCTTTCCTTCGTGGTATTTGAGTTTGAGAGACATTTTAGTTAAATGCATTATTGGCCTTAATTTATATTTTTTAAATTTACTTTATCGTTCAACGGTCAAATAAGACCACTTTTAGTTCAGATATGTTGAACAAGGATTTCTATTCAACGATATTAGCACAAGTTATCAGCCCCTGTGGTAATTATCTGGTGACAGGAGATACCTCTGGTAAATTATCAGTTTTCCAGTAAGTATATTTATATTTTTTGGTAATTGGAAGTATCAAATAATAGTAGTTAGTGCAAAACAAGAGTAGATGATGCCTATTATATTAATTGGTAGATAAAAAGGCATGGTAGAGCTAGAATATCATATTTTTCAAAAAGTAGTCTGCATGATGTAGGTGATACAATATATAAAGCCACAAATATTTTGTTGATGAGACATGATGCACCCCAAAATATATTTTTTAGTTTATCCAAAATTACTCAATCCGATGTAGTCTTAAGCAAAGAAGACTTACTGCCAAAGTATAAAATAATTGTTAAGGAAGGTTTTCAAATAAATAGTTTGCTTACAACGCCACAATTTCTAATAGTTGGAGTAGTCGGAGAAATTTTTGGATACAATTGGAAATCAATAAGAACTACGAACCCTCAAAGAAATAAGCCTGATTGGAGTATTGATATTCCCAATAGAAAAAACACTTTGGACACTATGGATATTAATGTTATTAACTATGATACGATTAATAATCACATTTTTGTTGGATGTGGAGATACCATTTATGTGTTTGATTTAGAAAGAAGAAAACTGTTGAAAAATTTGTCCAAACATGTGGATTGTGTCAACTGTTTGTCTAATTCGTAAGTTGCTGTTTAATAATATTTATAATTTTAATTAGACCTTAATCGAAAATTAAGAATTGTAATTTTTATTTGTAGAGAAACAGATCTAATTTCGGGGGCGGATGATGGTGTTGTTAACATTTGGGATCTACGTTCATATAAGGTAACCAACAAAATTGTACCACATTTAAGTGAGCCAGTGGCACGGACAGAATTAGGAAAATGGATTGGTGCTGTGAGTGCCAATGAAGATTATGTGGTAAGATTGTAAGATTTTCTAATTATATTTTTAAAAGATTTTTTAACGAGGAAAATATAAATGAATTTATAGAAAGGTTGAAAGAGGTTAACTGGGAATTCATTAAACAGGTAGACAAGTGTGACATCAATAAGCAATGGGAATCTTTTATGTGCACCTTTTTATACATTTTCAATATATGTTTCCCATTGAAAAAAGTCAAAGAGAAAACCTCTAACAAAAAATGTCAGTTTTGTCCTATGAGTGACTCTGAGGTGGAAGAATGCAAAAGGCGTTTAAATATTCTATTCACAATGAGCAGAGTGGATAATAGGTTTTGGGATAGTTATAAAAAGGTAAAGAAAGAGTATAACAAGAAACTATTAACTAGAAAAAAGAAAGCATTTGGAAAACAAATATCTGGCTCGGATAATAAAGCTAAAACAACATGGCAAATAGTGAGTAATATAAATGGCAAAAATAACCAACATACTATACAAATACCGGGGAAGGCGTCAACAGTAGCAAACAATTTTATGACTTTTCTTGAAAAGTCAATAACAGATGTAATCTCTGGCCTAAGTAATAATAATTATGTAAGTACAATATCAAGTAGAACAGAAGTAAAAGTTGGAAATGCTTTTGCCAGTTCTCCCACTTTATACCAATGACATATATAGTTTAAATAGACTGCTTATCCATAAGTAAATAAAACGATGAAAAGTGGGTCGAACTGGGAGATGTTTTCTCTTTGTCTAGTGCATGCAATGTTTATGTTTTGTCTCAATTTTGAGTGCTCACTGGTAAACAAACCTTTCACAGGACCGGTTTTAAAGAAAGTTTAGTCTAGTTGAGATTTTGTTCTCATTGTCATTACTCAGTCGGACATTTTGTTGAATTGTTTATTTTATTAATTTTAATTATACTTATGTTCTGTCTTAAGTTTTGTTTTTAAATTTAAATGGTGAATTGCTCTATAAAGGTTTGTAAGACCAGCTACAGAAATATTAAAGGTAACATTTCATTTTTCACGCAAGTATCAATACAAGTAGGTACAAGGTAAATACGTTTATAATAATTTTATGAATTATAATTAATTATAATAATAATATTAATAATAATAAAGTATTTATTGTAAATACAATTACATAAATATTATTATATTCAAAGGCCCGAGTTAGAGCTATCTGGGCTTTACAAGTACATTTTAAAAGTTAATTAGATACAGAGAAGTATCGTATAATAAAAACTCAATATAAATAGAAGAAAAACGGACATAAGTACCAATACAGAGAGACAAACACTTTTATTCTTTGATAGGTTCTTTCTATGTGAATTCTAGCTCTGGCAATTTTGGCATTAAGTAAAGCCTCTTGATGGCTGAACTAATTTTTTTTATTGAGGAAAGGAGGCTGTATAATTTGTATACCTTCAGCTTCTGTTATGTTTCCAATAAGAAAACCTTTGTTAAACATTTTACTATCGAGAAATGATTCACACACTTCAAGTATTGAACTTTGTTAAAAAATGTCTATTTCTGAAGTTTACCACCATATGCTTCACTTTTGTAAGTAATGAGACCAGTAGGTGACACTCCAGTCAATATTTTAATAGTATGCCTCTTTTTGTAGTCAGAGTAATTTTTTAGCCTACAACAAAGACATTTGGGATTTTGGTACAATCAAGTAGTACTCTTATTTACATAGAGGCACATTATTTAATATTTCTTGTTTTGAAGGCCAAATTATACCATACTAAGAACTTCTACCAGTTTTATTAAAAACTGTTAAAAAATTTAACGACAAAAAGTTTCATTCACTCCAAATAAAACGAATAAGTCATTATATCTTGCATATCAGTTTTCAACTTCATAAAAGTAAATATAACTTGATCCTTTACAGACACAACTGATCTCCTTTTTCCTATTCTTTAGAAACAACTCTGCTACTAATTCCACAATGGTGGCTAATAACTGGAAGGATTGCAATCCTATTAAAGTAGATAGTTCTTTAGCACTAACAATTCTGTTTGAAAACGGATCAACTAAATCACCACTCTTCACTTGTGTTGAACAATCGATCCCAATTTTCTGCTTTTAAACAAAGTTTTGTAAATTAAGCAAAGCTATTCAGCAGCACACAAATCTTCATTATCTGCTTCAGTAGTAGATATATGTTCATTAACTGCAAAAACACATTAAACATAATAATAATAATTAACCAAACATTTTAAATTATGCATACGTACATCCATTGCCTAAAGAAGATAACTCAACACTTAACATTCTACTAGTACTGGCAACATATCATTATTAAAGATAGTAGCCATAATTCTTGTTTTAGCTGGATTACTTTTCTTTTTATTATTTTTATTAATAGTCGCTTTCTTTTTACCACTAATCTGAGCTAACTTACATCGACTAAGCTTAGTTGTAGGTTCTTTTTGTGATTGTAAGTCAGAATCTTTATTTCCTTCTTACCGATGCTAAGGTACACGGATCTTGACGTCAACTAAGATTGCACTTTGTACCTAGTCCATTTTACTATGATGTTGATCAGATTTCCACTGATGGAATTGTATTATTATTCTTTAAATCATTCACATTCACCGCCAAAATAATCCTTAATTGTCTAAAGGGACAAACTTTAGAATGTGAAAAAGCCACTAACTTTAAATCTTTAAAAGGTTCATTCAATTTTTGCATAATATCTGCTTTTATAATGCGAAATAAATTTTAAAAGAATAATCAAGTGTCCGAATAGTGCCACTATACAGTAGTCATGGTCTAAAGTTAGTTATATACACATGAGTGTAAAATTGTTTATATCTCTTAAAATGTTTTGAAAATTGGGAAACTAGACGTTACGACTCAAAATCCTTTTTTAAAATACCTAACGCAAGCTCCTGTCTTGAAATAAACATTCAGATATATTTTTTTTTTAATTCAATTCCTACTTTGATGAAATATGTGTTTTAAACTCATTTGGGCCAGACCGATTCTGCCTGGTGAGCACTCGGCAAGCCAAGCAATATGACCCGCTTTTCGTCGTCTTGTGTTTTATATTCAATAAAAGCATTTAGCGGTATATAACTTTTAATTAAAACATAAGTGAATAATGAGAACTTATACATGAATGTTACAACGATGAACAAAAATGATGATGAGTGACCTCGAGGACCTGACATGCATGACATGGACAATTGACGCTTAGGGTGCGTTCCGCTAGTTCATACCAAACATCTTCCCCTTTTAGATTACATATCAAGGCGTCGGGGTGGTTTTATTACGCGGCCATATCGAGAGCGTATTAGGTCCTGTCTGTCATTTAACAAATTAACATTATTACTACTGCTACCACTACTATTGGAACTATTATGACAACTGTATCTACTATCCGGGGATCTTATAGATTCAGGGGTGTTAATAATGGAATTGTTATATTGATTGTTGTTTTGCCATGTAATATTGTTGTCAGGAATTAATTCAGGCTCGCAAATGAATTTGTTTTCTGGTTTAGTGTGTGAGAGTTTTATCTGAGATGTATTACGCCTAACAATTCTATTATTATCTTCCTTTTTCACCCAATAAGATCTAGGTTCTGAAGCTTTTTCTATAATAGTAGCTTTTGACCATGTTTTCTCATGACTACATCTTATAACTACATTTTCTCCGTTTTTAAAATCTATAAGTTTTTTTCGGGCTACTTTATCATAATTGGATTTCATTGTCTCTTTTTGTTTGGAAAGTTTTTCATAAATGTGTGTCTGAATTTTTGGTTCTAAATTTGCACTAGTTATTGGTAACTGACATTTTAAATTTCGGCTTTGTAAAATTTGGGCCGGTGACGCATCTAAATTGATAATAGGCGAATTATTATACTCAAGCACACATTCTCTGAAATCACACTTATCTTGAACACATTTTCTTAAAATTCTTTTTCCTATACCCACAGCTTTTTCTGCCATGCCGTTGCTCTGGTGAAAGTGAGGCGAGCATGTTCTAATTGTAATGTCTTTATCTTTATAGTATTCTTTACAATAACTTGATATGAAAGGCATGTTATCAGCAATTATGTATTGGGGGTACCCAAATCTGGTAAAAATTTGTTGGAAAGCATCTATAATGCATTCAGAAGTTTTATTTTTTAATAAAATTAGCTCAAGCCAATGAGAAAAATGGTCTATTAGAACTAGGTAATAGTTGTTACCAAATTCTAATATATCTGTCCCTACTTTGTTAAATCTAAGTGTTGGTACTGAATGAGGCAAAAGGGGTTCTTTATAATTGGAAGGCATGTATTTTTCACAAATACGACAACTTTTTATGTATGATATGATATCATTAGATAAATTAGGCCAATAAAACAACTTACGAGCCTTGTTTGTGGCTTTACTAATACCAATATGGCCTTTATGTAATAACTTTAACATATCTAATCTAAGAGATTTTGGGACTATAATTTTATCGTCTACAAAAATTATTCCTGCTTCTACATATATAGAGTCTTTTAGTGGATAGTAAGGTTACAATTTTCGGGGATCATATTTTGTTTTGGCCAGCCCTTATAATAGAAATCATGAATTTTCATTAACAGGGTATCTTTACTAGTTTCCAATCTAAACTGATCTTTTTTTCCATCACTCATAGGCAAATGTTTAGTGACCAAATGTACCATTTCAAACATTTCTAAATCAGGTTTACCTTTACAATTTAAACTAGATCTTGAGAGCATATCGGCAAATTGCACATTTTTACCTGGTACATAATATACATTAATGGAATATTTTAAAAGTTTTAATCGTAAACGTTGTAGTCTAACTGACCCTATTTTATTAATGGGTTTTTTCATGATGGAAATGATAGGTTTATGGTCAGATTGTACATCAACATTAAATTTGTAAATAAAATCGTGAAATTTCTGTGTTCCATAGTATATTGCCAACAGTTCTTTCTCCGTTTGACTGTAATTAACCTCATGATCGTTCATCGTACGTGATGAGCATGCTACTAATTTCAAAAT